AGATCTCAGCTTCCTGAAGGCATAAGCCACCAGCATCTAACTCAGCCTTTTTGTCGATTTTTTTTTGGGGGTCTGGTCATGGGGCCTGAACTCTGGGCCTGGGCACTGTCCCTCAGCTCTTCAGCTCAAGACTAGCGCTCTACCACGTGAGCCACAGCGCCACTTCCGGCTTTTTTTTTCTGCTTATGTGGTGCTGAGGAATCGAACCCAGGGCCTCAGGCATGCAAGGCAAGCGCTCTACCACTGAGCCACCTTCTCAGCCCCTGTCGATTATTTTTGGAGAGGTAGTCTAGAGGAATTTACTACCTGGGCTGATCTTGAACTGTGATCTTCCAGATTTCAGCCTCTGGAGTAGCTAGAATTAGAGGTGTGAGCCACTGATGCCTGGCTTAATCATATTTTATTGTTTTCCACCAATGTTCTTTGTGTTTTTGTTGTTTTATTTTCGTTTTTTCAGTCAGGGGCTTGAACTCAGGGTCCAGGTGCTGTTCCTGAGTGCCTTTTGCTCAAGCCTAGCACTCTATCACGTGGAGCCACAGCAGTACTTCCAGTTTTTTGGTAGTTAATTGGAGATAATAGTCTCATGGGTTCTTGTTCCAGCTGGCTTTGAACTGTGTTCCTCCTGAGTAGCTAGGATTACAGGTGTGAGCCACCAGTGCCTGGCTCTTGTTTTTATTTTAAAACTCTTATTATTATTATTTGTTTTATTTATTTTTTTGGTTGTGAGGCTTGAACTCTAGGCCTGGGTGCTGTCCCTCAGCTCTTCAGCTCAAGGCTAGCGCTCTACCACTTGAGCCACAGTGCCACTTCCAGCTTTCTGGTGGTTTATTGGCAATGAGTCTCATGGACTTTCCTGCCCAGACTGGCTTTGAACCGTGATCCTCTGATCTCAGCCTCCTGAATAGCTAGGATTACAGGCGTGAGTCACCTGCACCCGGTTTATCTTTATTACTTTTCTTCTTTCTTTTTTTTTTGGGTCTAGTCGTGGGGCCTGAACTCTGGGCCTGGGCGCTGTCCCTCAGCTCTTCAGCTCAAGGCTACTCTACCACTTGAGCCACAGCGCCACTTCCGGCTTTTTTTTTCTGCTTATGTGGTGCTGAGGAATCGAACCCAGGGCCTCAGGCATGCAAGGCAAGCACTCTACCACTGAGCCACCTTCCCAGCCCCTCTTTATTACTTTAAATTGAGATTAAGTTCACCTAACATAACCTTGATCTCACCTCTCTCCTTCCCTTCTATTTTCCCTTCTTCCTACCCTTCCTCCCTCTTTTCTTCCTTCTTTTTCTGTAGTAGGGAATTGAACCCAGGGCCTTGTAAAGTGAACAATTCAGTGATATTTAGTATGTTTACTAAGTTGTTCAACTATCGTTTCTAAGTTGTAAAGCGTTTTGTTTTGTGTGTGTGCTGTTTCTGAGGCTTGAACTCAGGGCATCATGCTCATATTTTTTTTTAAATCAAGTCTGGTACTCTACCACTTGAGCCACACCTCCACTTCCAGCTTTTTGATAGTTAGAGATAAGACTCTCTCTCATTTTCCTGCCTGGGCTGGCTTCAAATAGTGATCCTTAGATCTTAGCCTCTAGAGAAGCTATAATTACAGCCATGAGCCACCAAGTGGCCCAGCTAACTTTTTTTTTTTTTTTTTGCCAGTCCTAGGGCTTGAACTCAGGGCCTGGGCACTGTCCCTGAGCTTCTTGTGCTCAAGGCTGGCACTCTACTACTTGAGCCACAATGCTTTCTGGATTTTTCTGTTTATGTGGTACTGAGGAATTAAACCCAGGGCTTCATGCATGCTAGGCAAGCACTCTACCACTAAGCCACATTTCCAGCCCACAGCAAACATTTTTGATACCTTGAAGGAAAACTGCATGTCCATGACACTATCATTCCCATTCCCCCTACACTTGTCAACCAGCAATCTGCTTTCTATTTCTATCCACCAGTATTTCTTCTGTGTATATTTGTATGTACAGGTAATCGTTCTTGAACTTAGAGCCTTGAACCTTTGCTTTGCTTTTTTGCTTATGGCTCAGGTTCTACCACATGAGCTATGTCTCTACTTCTGGCTTTTTACTGGGATAATTGAGCTTGGATTGGCTTTGAACCTCAGTCCTCAGATCTTAGCCTCTTGAGAAGCAAGGATCATAGGTGTGAGCCACCAGTGCCTGGCTTCCAATATTTTTATTTCATATGACACACTTTTTTTTTTTGTGCCAGTAAAGGGGCTTGAACTCAAGACCTGGGTGTCATCCCTGAGCTTCTTTTTCTCAAGGTTAGCACTCTACCTCTTGAGCTACTGTACCACTTCCGGCCTTTTCTAAATTGTTCACTGAAGAGGAGACTCATGGACTTTCTTGCCCAGGCTGGCTTTGAACCATGATCCTCAGATCTCACCCTCCTGAGTAGCTAGGATTACAGGCATGAGCCACCAGTGCCCGGTTTACACACACATTTAAAAAAAAATTTCATTAGTAGTTTATATTAATTGTACAAAATACTGGGTTTTACTGTCACATGGTCACACATGCATATGACACACTTTGATCATATTTAACCTCCATTATTTTATCTCACACATCCCTGGGATGTCTTTTATTTAATTTTTTATTTTATTTATTTATTTTTTTTGTCAGTTGTGGGGCTTGAACTCTGGGCCTGGGCACTGTCACTCAGCTCTCCAGCTCAAGGCGAGCGCTCTACCACTTGAGCCACAGCACCACTTCCAGTTTTCTAGTGTTTTATTGGAGATAAGAGTCTCATGGACTTTCCTGCCTGGGCTGGCTTTGAATTGTGATCCTCAGACCTCAACCTCTGGAGTTGCTAGGATTACAGATGTGACACTCTGGCGCCAGGCATCTTTTATTTTTTATTCTATCTGATAAATCAATTAGTCAAGGCCTGGCATCCATGCAGTACTCTACATTGGATCTGTTAGAAAGGGGGCGTAAGAGCTACTGATGCCCAGGAATTACCCCAGAGATTCTGAAGTAATTTGAGGATTTCTAGAAGCTTCCAGATATTGCTTTGTACAGTCAAAACAGGAACCACTAATTAATGTGTCTGTCTAGTTTGGAAAAAGCTGGAATGAAGCCTAGAATCAGGGTGAGATCACAGACATAGAAGGACAGAGATACAAAGGTGAGATAGTGGTCTTGTGGTCCTTAGACATTGCCAGGTTCCTTTCCAAGATGCAGACAGCTCTCCGGGCCAAACAGAGAGACTGAAATTCCCTGCAGAGGAGAAACAAACAATTGAGACTCTGGGAGAAAGCAAAGTGTATGGACTGGCAATCAGGAAGACACTCTGAAATGAGACACAGACACTAGCTAGCCAGGCCCCAGACCCCTTAAGGTCACCAACTTCTTCTCTTTCAGCTCATCTGTTCTCCAAGACCAGCCCTGCCCTTCTGGCTGGGGCCTAGACCCAGGCCCCAGGAGGCCACGCCCCAACCTGCTCCAGCCCCAGAAAAGCTGCCCTGCCACTTTGTCCTCCTTCCCTGGCCTGGTGGGGCCTGGCTATGGGGCAAGACTGAGCCACAGGGGAAGGGAGAACCCATTCCTGCTGCTGCTTCCTCTGTCTTGGCTAACCTCTGTCTCCCTCACCCCTGAACCCCTAACCAGAACCCAAGAGCTTCCAAAGCTTGAGACCAGGGCCCTTTGGCCCCAACTTCCTGCCTGGCCCTGCTGTTGCGAGTACTGAATACATGTTATTTATTACCTGGAGGCCTGCCCCTGTCTCAAACCCTGCCCCATCCACCATAAAGCATTGTTTACACCAGTGTCTTAGCCTCTGTCATTTTGGGATGTTGGGTAGATGGAAGACGTCTCTGGTGGAAGACTGAGGGGTCTTGGTGTTTGGAAGCCTTGTTTCTGGAGTTGGACAAAGTGTGGAGGTAATAGGGCTCATGTGGAAAGCCTGGAATTCAGAAATCCTCCTACCTCAGCCTCCTTGAGTACAGGTATGCACACCACACCTAGCTTGGGTTCACACTGGTGACAGTGGGTGTGACGTGTTTATGACCTGTAGGTATCTCTATATTTGATGGTAGGTGACTGTGCCCGAGGAATGTGTGATTCTGAACATGAATGCCCTTTTCCCGGTGATCAAATTAGTGAGGCTAGTGGATCTGTGGGCATCAAGGTCAAGGATGGGCCCGTGGGGTGGGGGGGGCGGTCTCTTGGAGCTCAGGGTGGCAGCCACCACCTTCAAGCAGCCTGCCAGACACAGTCCTGGCTGCTCTCCCAGGCAGTTGGCCCTGCAGGGTGCTGGCAGAGAGGCCGGCCAGTCAAAATGACCTTATCTCCACAGTCCTCCCCCGAGCCATGCCCCACACGTCCTCAGAAGCTGGTCATGCAAATGTCTCCCGCATCGCTGTCCCGGGGTGGTTTCATTCCGGGCCGGCCGCAGAGCCGAGGTTCCTGGGGGAGGGGAGGGGGGCAGGGCAGGGTGGAGCGGGTCACGCAAATATTTGCTCACCGTTTCTTCGTCCGCTTTCCCTGCAGGACATCCCGTCCTTTCTCCGTTATAAAAAGTGCTTACGTAAATTACCGGCGCGCAAATTTACATACATTTTTTTCCAACTAACTGCGCAGCCATTTTTCAACACCCCTCTCTTAGGGCGGGCGGGGAGGAGCGGCCTATGCAAATGAGCTCACTTGCCGGCCGCTTTCCCAACCCGCGGCTCCAGGTTGCTCCGCTTTTTACAGCCCAGCCGCTGGGGCTTTCCATGTAAATGATCTCATTTGCATTTCCCCCCCTCAGGACCGCCCCTTCTCAGCCGCGTTCCTACGCTCCGGGTGGAAGGGGGCGGGGCATGATAGGTAAATGAACCACGCGCCGCCGACCGTCCCAGTTCTCCAAGAGGACTTTCTCGGGTTACCCCACCCTGTGCGGCTTTGCGCCTGCGCATTGCCTATCCCGAAGGGAGAGGGAGGGGTGAAGAGCGGGCGAGGTCACGTGTCCACCGGACGCGGCGCGGGCGGGGGGGGGAGGAGGTGGGGCGAGGGTGGAGCGGCGCGGGTGGTGGTGGGGGCGGGGTATGGCGCTCTGTGAAGCGCTGGGCGGTTGGCACAAACGGCGTCGCCGGGGCCGGAGGAAAAAGCTCGGTGAGGAGATCGCGGAGAAGGAAATGGAGGGATGTGGGGAGGAGGAGAAGTAGCCGGAGTCGCCGGGGCGCCACTGCGCGCCGGGCGTGGTGTGTGTGTGTGTGCGCGCGCGCGGTGGTGGTGGGGGGCGCGCGCGGCCCGCGGAGGGCGAGT